GCTACGCATCCAGCCCACTCCTTCCCACACTGACTGCTCCACTGCTGCCCATCCCTTTCCCACTGGCAGCTGGGACTGGGAGAGATTGTGTACGCCTTCGAGGCCTGCCTTACACAGCCACCATTGAAGATATCCTGAGCTTTCTGGGGGAGGCAGCAGCTGACATCCGGCCCCATGGTGTACACATGGTGCTCAACCAACAGGTGAGGGTGCTGCCTGTAAAGAGATACAGATAATTAAGGGTGTGTGGTTGGGGGTAAGGCACTCATGGAGCAGGACAGACTGCTTACAGGATGGTGTGCACAGGGCCGACCATCAGGTGATGCCTTCATCCAGATGACTTCAGCAGAGCGGGCCATAGCTGCTGCTCAGCGTTGCCATAAGAAAGTGATGAAGGAACGCTACGTGGAGGTTGTCCCTTGCTCCACAGAGGAGATGAGCCGTGTTCTGATGGGGGGCACTTTGGGCCGCAGTGGCATGTCCCCTCCGCCCTGCAAACTGCCCTGTGAGTGTCCCAGGACTGGGGAAGGAGGAGGCATGTGGGTATTGTTATAACCCTTACTTTCTGCGGTAGAGACTCCTTTCTGGCTGCCCTACCCAGGGCAGTGCTGGGCTCCTTGTACATGTCCTCTCTACTTCTGCTTCTAGGCCTCTCACCACCCACCTACGCCACCTTCCAGGCCACCCCAACACTCATTCCCACTGAGACAGCAGCTCTCTATCCCTCTTCAGCACTGCTCCCGGCTGCCAGGGTACCTGCTGCCCCCACCCCTGTTGCCTACTACCCAGGGCCAGCCACTCAGCTCTACATGAACTACACAGCTTACTATCCCAGGTACCCTGCTGTTAAGAGAACTCCACAGTCTTGCCCCCTGTCCTTGTTTTCGGGGAGGGACGCGATCCCCTTCCTGGGCCGGATAATCCAAGGTCTGTGAGATGACAAGGAAGTGACAGCTGTGGGCTGGCTGATGCTATTTACAAACTAGGATGGAGATGACTATAGAGGTAGGGACTTTAGGGAGGAGGAACTGAACTAAGCACAAGGCAGAAGCAAAAGAAGAGGGAGGCAGGCCTTGGTCTAGGCCATAGGTGGGGCTGTATTACTAAAACCTTGCCTCTCTCACTCTAGCCCCCCAGTATCCCCCACCACTGTGGGCTACCTCACCACGCCCCCTGCTGCCCTGGCCTCTGCTCCCACCTCAGTGTTGTCCCAACCGGGAACTCTGGTGCGTATGCAGGGTGTCCCATACACAGCTGGTATGAAGGATCTGCTCAGCGTCTTCCAGGCCTACCAGGTGAGGTGTGGCTGGAGGGCTTGGGGACTTGGTTGAGCCTGGAGCTCCTTGCCCTAAATCTCTGTCCCTTCTGTAGCTAGCCCCTGATGACTACACCAGCCTGATGCATGTTGGTGACCCACCTCGCACTGTGCTACAGACCCCCAAAGAGTGGGTGTGTTTGTAGGTGAGGGAGCCAGAAGGTAAGAGCTGGCTGATGTCCTCAGCTGTCTCTCCTGCATCTAGAGAACCAGTGCCCTCAACCTGGTAGCTTCTTTCTGGCTTGTTAAAGCTCTCAGAAGGCACCCAGAAGAGCGCAAGTCCTAGCTCCATCCCCCACTTATTGCTCTGCTGTTCACCCCAAAAATGATGGCTGGACCCTGCATGCAGGGCTGAGGGCACAATGGTGCTACCCTGCTCCCAATGGCCTGGTCTGGGCCTCCTGAGTAGCACCAGAGAGACTTTGGTATGTTATGGCTATGGCCCACGTCCACAGATTCGGTGGGGCTGACATCACAGCAGGCTTGCCTTCTTTTTTAAAACGTAAGCCCTGGTGCCCTCAATGTATGACTCCTGGGAGCTTCTGAGTAAAGATCCCAATGGTGGGAGGAAAAGAAACAGAGAGTGCTGGTCCCAACCCCAGGATACTTGGACCTCGGTGGCCATGTTGTGTCAGGTGTGGTCTCACCTAAGGATGCTAGCTAGCCCCTCCGGCCTGGCACAAGGACTGTCAGATGGCAAAACCACAGGCTGTTTTGATGGACTGTACTGCAGTATCCCCAGAGGACACTAGGGGGCAGGAGGCCCTCACACAAAAACTCAGGCTTGAATTTTAAAGGGGACTTTTCTGCCTACTTTTCGTGCACACCTTGGGCAGGCAAGTTGTCCCGAACTCAGCAGACACCGTGGAATGTCCTTTGCACCCATTAGAGGGTGCAGAACTGAAGCTTCGGAAGGAAATCTGGAACTCTACCCTCTCTTCCATAAAATAAACAAAGGTTTCTAACCACGTGGACTTTTTAAAAGCTGAAGTGCCCTTAGCTTTGGGCCCCAGAGGGAGGGGCTCCATACCAGCCCCAGGCGGAGGAAAACTCAGGCAGATTTCAAGGAGACTGTTGACCTGTCGCCGTTTATTATTTCAGCACTGTAACTGAGGAGCCTGAATTGCTGGCTCTTCCCTTTGTATTTGTATAAGGAGCACTGTACTCCTATAAAAGGTTTTAAAATACAAAATGTACAAGAAAACACAATCCCGAGTGCTGTAAACATAACTGAGAACCAGTCCTTAACCGAACATCATCCATTTTTATAAAATACAAGGTTTCAACTTAAGCCCATCTGAGCCTTAAAGATGACCATCTGTTCTGAATATCAAAAACAGGGCTTCACAGCCAGACCCAGCAGAGGTCTGGGGATAGCGACTAGTCCTGGGCAGGGGTGGGCTGCACCCCAGGCAGCAGCACCACACATGATCCTGGAGACATCTGTTCTTTTAAAGCTGTTTTCAGCCATGTTTCTGTCTCCAGTAAGCAGAGGCTGCTCAACCCAAGATCTCAAACAGGCTGGAGGGGAAAGGGTGGGTGCTAGCATGCCCAACTGCTCAGTGCTGCTACTAGAACTCAATTTGCATAGTCCAGTGGATGTGTGCTTTAACACCACTATGTTGACGAAAATTTAAATCTTTATCTACAAAGCCAAAAAATATTAACTCGTACACCAAAGCTTTTACAAAGCTAATACAAAACTGCTTACGTAGTCTACAAAGCTCTATTTTAAAATTTAACTTTTATTTTAAATAGGAAAGCATTTCTAGTGCTACAGGCATCAAGGTATTTAAAAGGCATCAAAATTTGGTGCATAGCAACTCTGGATCATAGAGGCTTTTATTCTTGAGGACAGCAGAGCAACCCCCAATAGGTCTTGCAAGGGGAACTCCTGCAAGAACCCCATGTGGGGCAGCTACACCAGGGGCAAGAGGGTGGAGGCAAGTCTGGCCACCTCTCTAGAACTTCGTCTCAGGGCCCAGCCCCCCACAACCTTCAAAGGAAGCTGTGGGCTTCCAACTACAGGCCTTGAAAAATCTCATTGTCCACACCATGACACAACTCACTTTGAAAGAAAATATGGAAACGCCCAGTTCTAAGGGACCAGGAGTGATGTGCTGAAGTACAGGAATTTTAACTAGTTTGGGTGTGGGAGGGAAGGGGATTTTAAACATCATAGTTCAAAGGGAAGAAAAAAAAGGACCATACTTCCTCATCCTGGGTAAATAGCTCTTACCTGCCTGACTATAGGTGGTGGGCAATGAGCTGGCTCCCTCTGCCCAGGACTCACTTGGCCTCAGTAGAGAATCCTGGCAACTAGGACCCACAATCCCCTGGAACAACAGCATCAAGCCTCTGACCAACCCAGCATGTTGTCTCACATGCAGGCACTCAAAAATTTTGCTTCCTGAATGAATGAAGTACATCATTTCATGTGAAAATATACTGCAAACTTCAGGGGCTTTGAAATAGGTCCAGGCCTTGAACCAGGTAACTTATCCCATTAACGGGAAGGGTAAGGGCAGGGCTTGGAAAAAAGCACCCAAGTTGGGCACCTCCTTTGGTAGACAGCAGGCTGGAGTTTCTCGCTGGCCCCTGCCTTGGACGCCAGCCTCACCTGCAGCAGCACCAGGGCATCTTTGGTCTGGAGGGTCAGGTCCATGATGCTACCTCATTTTTGGATTTGCTTCAAAGACTTTTTGGGAAAAGGCTGGTTTCTAGGCCATGCAGATGGAACTGGGTGGGCCAAAATCATTTTAGGCTGTAAAAAGCATGAGGGATAAGCATTCCATGACAGGGAATCTTAAAAGCTTCCCATCTGGAGTCCTGCATTTTCTCTGCTTTTGTCCTGCAGCATAGCTCATTTGTGCTTAGCTTCTGACAGAGCCTACCCCCCAGAGATGAAATTGAACCAGCAAAGTTGCCTAAAAACCATCACGATGAGACTGTGGCTTCAAAGGTTACAGAGCAGGCAAATGCCAATGATCCCATTTGGAAAAGGTCTGGGATCAGAGGACACAAAAGGGAAGAACACTCCAAAACCTCCCTGTTTGTAGGATGGCAGGAAATTAAAGCTATCAAGCTAAGACCTCACCTTTCGAAGTCACCTTATACGTAGCTACTTTACCCAAGGTCCTGAGGGGAAAAAAGTAATTTCAACATGGAGTCAGTATGGAGAGATTGCAAGATTACCTAGAAAGTTACAAAAAGGCTATGCTCTGGAATGTTATTTTGTATTCCAACACTTCAATGATTGGAATGGTCTCTTATTTTATCTAACAGTTTACTTTTATAAAGAGGTATGAGCTACCATTTGGCTTTATTTCCTATTAATCTATTGAAAAGCTTCAGGACACATGCTGATTTTCTGAGGCATAGGTGTGGGCTTGGGAGAATTTTTTTTCTTTTATGTTTGCCTCTGGAAGGTTTTATCAAAATTTCCTATTTTAAAAATATCAAAGCTAACGGGTCCTTCAAATGACCATAGAGCAGTACGAATCGCCAATCCTAGCTAAGCAACCAGGTCGCCTGCAAAAACAGCACCTCTGAAATGAAGAGCCTGCTGTATTCACACTCAAAGCACCCATCATATAAAAGTATCCTATTCAAAAATAAAAAGCAAAGCTCATTTCCCCAAAGCTCTTATAGTCTATGCTGCTCCTGTTCTTTTACAAAGTCTACCCAAGGCCTAAGGTGGAGGAATGCTGCTTTCCCCACAGTGACCCTAACTCCTGGCACCAGTCCTGAAGGCCACGGAGTTGGAAACCCAAAGTCCAAGGAGACAAACATGCTGAGAAGTTATGTGGTGGTGGACGCAAGGCTGCAGCAAGCACTGTCAGAGCCCTTCGGATCTTCCTAAATCCAGGGAATCAGGACCAGGGAGGGGAGACTGCCTGCTCACCCCTGTTCCTTGGGAAACAGAAATCTGGGACATGTCTCTCCCAATTATCTCGTTCACTGAAAAACAAGAAAAGGGAGAGTGATTAGTGACCTCTGTGTGACAGATCATATGATGCTCAATGCCAAGCTCTATTTCAAAGACATTTTTTCCCTTGCCACGGTTTTCTATAAAGGTGCTTGAAGCCTGCTCCTGAGCTGAATGCAAACATCATTCCATAAGCTATTCGAGACCCCTCCTTCTCTCCCTTTCAGTTCAGTGTGGGTTGGGAAGGGCGATGGCTGATAGAACAGGCAAACTTTCTTACCCTTACTCTAAAGGTTCATGCTCTAGAACAGAGGACAGGACACTTCTGAAGTAAGTGTTCACCTTAATCTAACTTTTCCTTAATTTGTATCTCTTTAGAAAGTTTCCCCTTTTCTGATTCCTGCAATACACCTCACATATAAAGTAAATGAAATGAATGCTTTAGTGAGAATGAACCATTGAGATTTGGGGGTTATTTTGTTGTCCTATGCTAATGAAAACATCCTTTATTATGTGGGGGTATTTGTATTGTTTCTGATCCTTTCTAATTTCAGGCTTTTTCTCTTGGTTTCCATGATGTGCCGAACACCTCAGGGAGCACAATGCTCTGTGAGGTCCAGTGCAAAGAATTTCAGTCTTAAGGAACCAACATAGAAGGGAACACCCCAAATAAGAATCTTTAGTTCTCTCACCATGAGCACTTTTTGCTTTGAAATGAAAATAGTTTGCTTTATCAGCTGAAGAGTCTACTAATTCCACTCCCAGGCATATACTCAAGAGAAATGAAAACATAAATGCACATAAAACTTGTACTCAACTCAAATATTCATAGCAGCATTATTCATAATAGCCCCAAATGTCTATGAAGCAATGAATGGATAAAGTGTCTATCCATACGATAGAATATTATTCAGCTATAAAAAGGAATGAAGTTCTAATAGATGCCACACATGGAAGAACCTTGAAAACATGCTGCTCATCAACAGATGATTGGATAAAGAAGTTGTGGTACATATATACAATGGAATATTACTCAGCCATAAAAAATGAAATGTTACCAATTGCAATGACATGGATAGATCTAGAGGGTATTATGCTAAGTGAAATAAGTCAAACAAAGACAAATATCACATGATCTCACATGTGGAATCTAGAGAACAAAATGAATAAACACAACGAGAACAGACTCACAGATACAGAGAATGGTGATTGCCAAATGGGAGAGGAATTGGGGGTTGAGTGAAAAAAGTAAAGGGATTAAGAGGTACAAATTGGAAGTTACGAAATAATCACGGGGATCTGAAATACAGCACATAAAACATAGTCATTAATATCGTAATAACTATGTATAGTGCCAGGTGAGTACTAGACTAATCAGAGGAATCACTTCGTAAATTATATAAATGTCTAACCATTATGCTATATACCTGAAACTAATATAATACTGAATGTCAACTCTAACTGAAAAATAAAAATTTAAATAAAAAACCCCACAATATTATGCCATGTAAAGGAAGCCTGACACAAAGGCCATATGTTGTTTGATTCCATTTGTATAAATAGCCACAACAGGCCAATCCATATAGACGGAAAATAGATGGGTGGTTACCAGGAGTTATGGGGCATGACTGCTGATGCATGTGGAGTTTCTTTTTGGAAAAATGAAAATGTTCTAAAATTAGATAGTGGTGATGGTTGCGCAACTCTGTGAATATATTAAAAACCACTGATTTGTATACTTTCAAGGCTGTTATAAACAAAAACAGACCAAGACAAAAAAATGTTATCTTCATTATTCGATCATAGAGCAAAGGAGACACTAACAATCATTTTTTAAAAATCTCCAAGTATTAACATCTAATCTTTTTATAGTTTAGGTAGTTAAGAAAAAAATTCTTCAAACTCATACTCATTATGGCTATAAGGAGAAGGGAACCAACATTTATTCTTTCTACAAACATTTATTGAGCATCCATGGGTTAGATTTTATAAATGAAATTTTATATCTTATTTTAATTAATCTTCACAACATTTTAAGATCACTACTCTACCACACTTTATGGATAAGTTAACTGAGGCATTGACAGTTCACATTATTTGCTTAGTAAATGGTGGAATCATCTTTAAAACACATGTCACTTTTTGGAGGCCAGAAGAGTAGAGAAGCAGGGAAATCACTTAGACAAGGAAAATGCAGAAGACCTGAACAAATGTGATATTAGAGAAGGGAGAATGAATGTAGTGCGGTGCTGGTAAGAAGAGGGAGAGGAAAGGACTGATTCACCACCACGACCACCACCACCACCACCACCACCAAGGTTTGGAGTGCAGAAAGAATGGTGCTGTCATATTGGAAACAAGCT